TCACATGCAAATCCAAGAGCTGAGATTACTTCTCACTTCTCATTTTAAGGGGCACTTCTCACCTGATCTTCTATATATATATATATAGGGTAAGGATCAAATGAGAATATCATCTTAGGAGAGAAATGAGAATGATTCTGGAGCGTTGGATTTGAGTATTGTGCATCATGTAAAACAGAAACGTGCATATAAAAAATTGGAAAATGTGCATTTCGTCTATGCAAAATTTTAAACGTAAATGTGCAAATTAGAATTTTGCATTACTTTAACTATAAATGTGCAGTTTTGTGAAGGTTAAAGTGCATCCTTTTGGAGTGTTCTCATTTCTCACGTTAAGGAGTGTTCTCACCGGAACCGCACCATATATATATATATATATATATATATATATATATATATATATATATATATATATATATATATATATATATATATATATATATATATATATATATATATAGAGAGAGAGAGAGAGAGAGAGAGAGATAGAATAGAGATCAAATACAACTCATGCTTAATTTACAAAGTACAAACTTATCTTGGTCATCCCATGAGTTGATCTAAAGGATATAAATGCAAGGTGGCATTTTTGTAATAAAACCTAACTTTTCTAAGGTGCAACTCATTGAACGTAAATGTGCAACTGCTATTTTATGACTATATAATATGCAACACTTTAAAACTCAATATGCAATGCAAATAACGTCAAGGTGCATCGTACAAACATTTGCACAATAAGCACAATTTGTTCTTGATCTTTCCCATATATATATATATATGTATATGTATATATATATATATATATATATATATGTATATATATATATATATGTATATATGTATATATATATATATTTTTGGTTCAAATGAGAACATGTCTTAACGTGAGAACGTGAGAACACATCTCAACCATCCAAACTATACACTCTAATGAGATAATCCGATGAGAAACCAAGGGTATTTTAGTATCATCCATTTTTTCAATTTTTGGTAACTAACATAGCAGTTACACTGTGTGGTCCAATTTAGGAAAGTAAAGACTAAACCTTGTAAATATTCTAATTTACTTTTCCAGAACTCTTATTATTTATATGATAATTTTCTTCCAAGTACGTTATTAATATTACTAGTGTTCGGTTATTCACATATAAATTTGAACATTTTCCCTTGTTTGTGCACAAAATTACTAGTACTCGCCATTTTTTATGCTTTTCAACATTTGTTAATTTTTGTGATTTAAATATTAGCTATTGTGTATTTCAAATAATTACATTTTAAGCGCATCAAGTTAATGCTATTGACTCGTGCATTAAATTGTTATTTATTTTCTATATATTTATTGTGTGTCAAATATCAATTGTTGTGTGTTATACGTATTGTGTGTTAGATGTTGGTTCTTGTGCATTAGATAACGACTCTTGTGCGTTAGATACGTATCTAACCACTAATATTTCTTGTGCATTAGATATTGATTCTTGTGTGTCACATATTAGTTTAAGTTGTGTGAAATCCTTATGCATTGGATATTAATTAGTTTTAATTGTTGTATGTCAGATATTGTTCTTTGTGCATTATATATTTGGTTTTGTGCTTAAGATACTTGTTTTAGTTTTTCTTACACGTATTGTGTGTTAGATAGTGGCTCTTGTGCGTTAGATATTAGTGATTGTGTGTCTGATTCATATTCTTGTGAATGCGGTAGATGAAGATGTTTGTCATGGTTTATTGTTTACATATTATACTTATTTTTTAAAACAAAATTGCATATGACATATTGGTGTCATATGAAAGATAATAAAAAATTATTTAATTTGATATATTTTTTGTTAAAATCAGATTATAATTTTAAAAGTTAAATCAATTTTTAAACTAAAACATTTTATGTGTTTTGACCTTTTATATCTTCCTAGTTTTTTGGCAAGTGATAGCCTCCAACGATACACATTAATGGAGTTTTAAAAATTACTCTGTTGCCCTTCATTAACTTACGTGTGGATGAGAGAGAGCAAGAGTATTTTTAAAATGTTTGCACTCCCACCATACATCCATGCATCTCATCCTCTTATGACCATTGATTTACTAAGATTTATGGTTTAGATTTGTTCTTATTTCTCACAATAAGGAGTGTTCTCATTGGAACCACTATATATATATATATATATATATATATATATATATATATATATATATATATATATATATATATATATATATATATATATATATATATATATATATATATATCCCTAGGTAGCGGTTCCGGTAAGAACGGACTCTTAGGAGAGAAATGAGAACGAATCTGGACCGTTGGATTGTATTATTGGGAACTTAATTGTGCATTTGGTGAAATTGATATGTGCATTAGATGATATTGAAATATGCATAATAAAAATTTAAACTCAAATGTGTATTAGGTGAAACTGAAATGTGCGATAAAAGGTAAAAAAAATAACATCACATCAAACCTTTTATTCTGCACATTTCAGTTTCACCTGATGCACATTTCAATTTCACCTAATGCCCAGTTTAGCTTCACATAATGTCTACTATATTGTACCATTTGTGCTGCACATTTGAATTTCACTGAATGCACATTACAGTTTCATCTAATGCACATTGAATTTCATTTAAACCAAATCTAACGGTCCAGATTCATTCTCATTTCTCTCCTAAGATCATGTTCTTATTTGAACCAAAACCTATATCCATATATATATATATATATAGGGTGCGGTTCCGGTAAGAACGAACTCTCAGGAGAGAAATGAGAACGAATCTTGACCGTTGGATTGTATTATATGGATCTGGATTGTGCATTTAGTGAAACTGAAATGTGCATCAGATGATATTGAAATGTGCAGAATAAAAATTTAAACTCAAGTTTGCATTAGGTGAAACTGAAATGTGCGAAATAAAAGTTACAAAAATAACATCACATCGTACCTTTTATTTTAGCACATTTCAGTTTCACCTAGTGTGCAATTCAACTTCACATAATGCACAATTCAATTTCACATAATGCCACTGTATCGTATCATTTGTGCTGCACAATTCAATTTCACCTAATGAACATTACAGTTTCATCTATTGCACATTGAATTTCCCTTAAAGCAAATCTAACGGTCCAAATTCATTCTCATTTTTCTCCTAAGATCATGTTCTTATTTGAACCAAAACCTATATATATATATATATATATATATATATATATATATATATATATATATTGATGATCACACAATTCAGCGTATGAAATCAAAAGTTCAATGTTTGGTATTATAAGAAAATAATTTAGTAAGGAAATAAATTTCAATTTTGATTTCTAGGAATACCTTTTTATTGCGAGTAAATTTTAGTGTGAATCACATGTAGAGTTTGGAAGGAGTTTAACACGGTTTGACTTCTTATTTTGACTTTATTTAGAAATATAGAGAATAGGAAAGAATAAACTTGGACAAAGTTTTATACTCCCTCTGTCCCACAATTTATACCGTGCAACCGGCGCACCATGAGGATGGTGCGCCCGGTTGCAAAACAACGCAGCATGCAGTGGCTTCATCAAAACGACGCAGCATGCAGTGGCTTCATTCCATTATTTTTTATTTCTTTTTTTGTTAAAAATTGTAATAACTTTTTTATTTGATATCTGATTTTTATCAATTTTTTTTTTACTTTTCATGATCTTTCAAATGAGACCAATATTGCTTATGTAATTTTAACAAATTATGGAACTATAATATAAATGATTATTGGATTATAAGGAAAAACGAACTAAACTTAATACAGAAAAAAATTGTGTAAATCACAATTCATCTTAAAATTGTGTATATAAAAAATTTATTGTATTATGTATTTATACATGTGAGTTACATACTTTTATACGTAAAGTTACATTTATTTACACGTAAAGTTACATATTTATAAACACGAGTTGCATTTGGCCTGCCTGAACGCGAGTTACATATTTTTACACGTAAAGTTACATATTTTTACACTTAAAGTTACATATTTATACACACGAGTTGCATTTGACCTGTCAGAACGTGAATTACATATTTTGTTTTACGTAAAGTTACATATTTTTACACGTAAAGTTACATATTTTTACACGAAGAGTTACATATTTATACACACGAGTTGCATTTGGCCTGACTGAACGTGAGTTACATATTTTAACACATAAAGTTACATATATTTTACACGCAAATGTTAATATGTTAAAATTACATAGACAATATTGGTCTCATTTGCTGATTTGAAAGATCATGAAAAAGAAAAAAATTTGATATAAATTTTATAAAAATCGGATCAAAAATAAAAAAATTATCAACAATTTTAAGAAAAGGAGAAATAAAAAATAACAAAGGGTGCATGGTGCTCACCATGCATCGGTTCAACGGTATAAGCACTGCCTCTATCCCGTTAAGATTGTCACATCTTTCTTTTTCGGTCCATCCCGCTAAGATTGTCTCTTACCAAATTGATAAAATTTGTGAGGTTCTTAATTAATACTCCGTACTTCGTATTATTTTATCAATATAATATCAATCACATAAATTCATTTTTCTTTCTGAACCACCTCCTACCTAATGTTAGTGGGACAGATTAATAATCAATTAAAATGATTACATCAACGTTTGTCCCACTGATTTTAGTAATTTGCCAATCGGAAATAATAATAATAATAATAATAATAATAATAATAATAATAATAATAATAATAATAATAATAATAATAATAATAATAATAATACTTAAGTGTTACGTGATTCAAGGTTACTTATATTTTAAAAATTTGGTATCAACAAAATAATCTTTTATCTTAAATCTGTGCAGCACATCTTCTCCTAAACTTAATGGGGAGAGGGAGTAATTAATTTCATATTAAATGATGAGTAACCATATTTATGACATGAGAGTGAATATTTCCATTGTCCAGAAATAAAAGTTCTCATTGCGTTTGAGAGGTAGAAAAAAAATATAAAAATGAATATGTGCAGGTTATTTCTGCTTGGTTTGGACAAGTTTGGGAAGGGAGATTGGAGAAGCATTTCCAGGAATTATGTGGTTTCCAGGACGCCAACGCAAGTTGCTAGCCACGCGCAAAAGTACTTCATCCGTTTAAATTCAATGAATAGAGACAGGAGGAGAACCAGCATACATGACATTACCAGCGTAAGAGGTGGCGGCGACGCATCGCCTCACCAACCACCACCCATCACTGGCCAGAACCCCAACGCCACCTCCCATGGGATGGGCTTGTATGGAACGCCCGTAGGTCACCCCGTGGCCGCTCTGCCTAGTCATATTGCTTCAGCAGTTGGGACTATAGTCATGCTTCCCAGCCATGCCCATCCTCCTTATGTTCTACCGGTGGCATATCCGATCGGACCGCCACCTCCGCCGCACAATATACACCAAAAATAAACTTACTACATGACCACCGGGCGGATGATCGACCTGGTTCTCACTCAATTTGGGAGGCCAGTCTTAAGTTTGTTCAATTACTGTTTCTAAGGTGTGTTTAACATTAATTTAATTTTCCTAGTTCTGCAACCAGATGGACAATTTTGTAAATGCTGTGGACATATAAAAGTTATCGGGCCAATTAGGGCAGTGTATCTTAAATGCTACCGGGCTTTATTATATCTTATTGGGCCACTGTCAAAATCGGATTCTCCTGGAATACTCGTAATAGTTGTAGGGCTTTGTCAAAAGGAAAATATTACGGAGTATTATGGATCCATTCACATATAATAATTTAATTAATTCGGATCATTTGAATATCCAATTAATTTTATTATTCGAAAAGAATGGACCGGTCCTATTAATTTTAAGTCCACTATCAAATATTGGCCCAATAAATAAGAGACATGATCCAATGTATGAAGAGGAGGATGAATCTAGTCAAGAAATCAATCCACATGCATGGAAAATGGTTGCGAACCTTGTCAAAAAGGCTGTCCAGATACATCAAACAAGTGCTGATTTTTCTAACTATGAAATTCAAGCAAATAGAGTTGATGGTCCCAAGTGAGGTAAAAGTCTTGAGGGGGGGTGAATAGACTTTTAAAATCTTTTCTTTTTCAACCCTTTTTCCTCAAACAGAATGTGTTCCAAAATCTTTTGGGTGATGTTGAAACATACAGCGGAGGTCTTGACCTCAAGAGTGTGACACTTTATAGGAACAAAGGTTATGACCCTTTTAGTTGTAACAAAGATGGGTGGACAGAACACCTTTATGTGAAGAATTTAGACCTATTGACATAGATCTCTTTGTAGTGCGAAAGTAAGGAGTTTTTTTTCACAGAAAACTTTAGGGAGTTTTCTGGATAGTGAATATGCAAGCCTTTGGAATAGTGTGAAGGTGACTGAGAACTGAAGTATGTGTTGGGTGTTGAATATAAAAGGTACACAAGATATATCCTTGTTCAGAGGTGGTGTAATCCTGCTACATCCAGTCCCAACCTATTTCAGATGGATTTTCCACTAAATAAATATCCCATTACATTTAGTGCCCAATCTACCCCTGGCCCGGATGTAGTTACTCTAGACCTCTAGTACTGTCCCCACAAACCACCACGAGCCTTTACCACGCACTTTGTCCTCACTCATGTGCGCCCTGAGAAACTTCCCAGGGGGTCACCCATCCCAAGACTACTCCCGTGCAAGCACGCTTAACTTTGGAGTTCTTGGGTGATGAGCTCCCTTAAAAGGAGATGCACCTCTGTTGGTATGAGTAGTACTATTAATCCTCTTAAATTAATCTCGGGTATTACAATCACCACCACTTAGGATCGCAACGTCCTCGTTGCGCCCTTAACACTCTCAATCAAACCCCAGAATCTTGCCCCGCTAAGTGCCTGCCCGATATCTAACGGGTCAACACACTGTCGCAGGGTTGCTCTGATACCACCTGTAACACCCCGGGGCCCCACACGAACCCGAGGTAGTTACTCTAGACCTCTAGAACTGTCCCCACAAACCATCACGAGCCTTTACCGCGCACTTTGTCCTCACTCATGCGCGCCCTGAGAAACTTCCCAGGGGGTCACCCATCCCAAGACTACTCTCGTGCAAGCACGCTTAACTTTGGAGTTCTTGGGTGATGAGCTCCCTTAAAAGGAGATGCACCTCTGTTGGTATGAGTAGTACTATTAATCCGTTTAAATTAAATATCAAGTATTACAATCACCCCCACTTAGGAACGCAACGTCCTCGTTGCGCCCATAAACCAATCTCAATCAAATCCCAAAATCTTTACCACCGCTAAGTGCCTGCCCGATATCCTACGGATCAGCACACTGTCGCAGGGTTGCTCTGATACCACCTGTAACACCCCGGGGCCCCACACGAACCCGAGGTAGTTACTCTAGACCTCTAGTACTGTCCCCACAAACCACCACGAGCCTTTACCGCGCACTTTGTCCTCACTCATGCGCGCCCTGAGAAACTTCCCAGGGGGTCACCCATCCCAAGACTACTCCCGTGCAAGCACGCTTAACTTTGGAGTTCTTGGGTGATGAGCTCCCTTAAAAGGAGATGCACCTCTGTTGGTATGAGTAGTACTATTAATCCTCTTAAATTAATCTCGGGTATTACAATCACCCCCACTTAGGATCGCAACGTCCTCGTTGCGCCCTTAACACTCTCAATCAAACCCCAGAATCTTGCCCCGCTAAGTGCCTGCCCGATATCTAACGGGTCAACACACTGTCGCAGGGTTGCTCTGATACCACCTGTAACACCCCGGGGCCCCACACGAACCCGAGGTAGCTACTCTAGACCTCTAGTACTGTCCCCACAAACCACCACGAGCCTTTACCGCGCACTTTGTCCTCACTCATGCGCGCCCTGAGAAACTTCCCAGGGGGTCACCCATCCCAAGACTACTCCCGTGCAAGCACGCTTAACTTTGGAGTTCTTGGGTGATGAGCTCCCTTAAAAGGAGATGCACCTCTGTTGGTATGAGTAGTACTATTAATCCTCTTAAATTAATCTCGGGTATTACACCGGACGTAGATTGTGAGGTTTTTCACAAGGAACCAGATTGTTCCAAGCTACTCATGTCCTCCAAGGTTTTTCACTAATGGCTTTCCCAGCCAGAAGCTACTCATGTCCTTGCCTCACCTTCTGGATGATCACACACATACCAGAATGAATACACTAGACTAGTTTACATGGGTTTAAACTAATCTACCAACTATTCTAAGCTCTATTGATGTGTAAGAATATTGAGCTATTCTAAGAGCATTAGATGAGTGGGGTGGTAACCAGAGTCGTGAAGGTGAATTAGCTAACTGGATGTTTTCATGTATTCCTTGATTCCCTTCAGTTCCACTGGGTTCCAATATACCAAGGCTTGTTGCCATCTGGTGCCACATGGTGTTGCTAAGTGCCACCTGGTTCCACACTTGGTCTTCCCGCACTCCTTCTGTATTTATAGACTTTGTTGTTGAATCTCCTCCGTTGGCTGAGTGATCCAATCTTGATCGTTGCTTGATCTACTTGCTTTGTTCCACTTGACTGGTGCAGCATAGGTGTTCCTTGTCTTCTTATGACATGGATCATTTTATCCTCACTCAACTTGATTCCTCATTTCAAGGCAAAGATAAAGATGATTTATCTTTATCTCTTTAGCATACAGAAATTCAGTATCTAGGCCGAGCGTTGTTCAATGCTTTTCTTGAGATAAGATTACTTGCTTTTAGTAAATAATGTTATAAGAAATTTTGTCACATAATTTCTTGTAACATTATTTTCTATGGCATTCTGTCATTCTGACTGCAAGTGGGTCTTCTGTTTTCTTGTTTCTGTGCTAAGAGAAGAATAGTAGATGTTGAGTTTCTGATCAGAATACCTCAACAGAATACCTTATCAGAATACCTATGAGGTCTTCTGTTCTGGTGTCAACAGAGAACCACCTCTTTGGAGAGGTCAGATGAGGTTCTTTATTATGACCATGACATAAGGTCTTCTGGTATATATCACAGAGACCTTTACATTGATGTTTTACCAGAGTTGATCAGTTCTGATGTCCATCATAGTTGAGGTTCTCTGGTATGACCAGAAGGTCATTGAAGGTTCTCTGATTAGTTTATCCAAAAGGTTTTCAGTTGACTCTTTTCGTACCTTTTTCTTTTTCTTTCTTTTCTCAATGTTTTATGGTACGTTTCTTCTCTTTTTAGTACTCTCTGTTTTTCTTGAGTACTTTATCACTTTTGAGCACATTATAATAAACAGTATTAGAACAAATATAAGTGCTAGTCTATTACAGGGATAATACATCAAAAAGGGGTGGCATCATCAAAACAATACTTGTTCATCAAAATCTAGGGGACCTAACAATTTCCCCCTTTTTGATGATGCCAAAAACTAGAATTCAAACAAAAATAAATAGAAAATATTATCCTAAGTGTTTGTTTCTATTTTCCCCCTTTTTGGCAGCATCGACTATCTACTCATGTTGTCTTCTAAGGAGGATGTCGTCTACCTTCCTCTTTTTTCTATTCTCATATGCTTCCTCGAGGTCTTCACGTTTGGAGTGGTAAGCTCTGTTAATAACTTGCATTGAGAGTGCAGTCTCAATGTGGTCTGCTTGAAGCCAGCCCAGAGCAAACTCTTCTTCTCTCACCATCGTAGGAGCTTTGAGAACAAGGTTATCAAAGGAGGACATTCGCCATTTCCTCCATTCCAGCACTCTGATTAGTTCTTGAAATAGTATCTCCTTTTCCCCAGCCAAATATATTCTTGATTCTAGATCAATGAATTTTTCATCGGGTATGACTGTGGGAGCTTTTCTCTGTGGTGCTGATGGTGCAACCAACGAGATAATCGAGATGCCGAACACCTCGGTTTATGATATTAAAAATGAATATTGGAGGCAACCGCTCATTGATTATCTCACTGATGGGAAATTACCTGAAAATCCCCGCAAGAAAGTAGACTTGAGGAGGCATTCACCGCGTTTCATCTACTATAAGGATACACTTTATCGAAGATCATTCGAGGGTGTATTCCTTAGATGTTTGGATGGAGATGAAGTCTTACAAGCAATGGAAGAGGCACATTCAGGAGTATGTGGAGCTAATCAATCTGGTCCTAAGCTGCACTTTCATATCAAAAGGATGGGACATTATTGGCCGACTATGGTAAAGGATTGCATGGATTATGCTATAAGATGTCAAGCATGCCAATATCACGCAAATTTCATCCATCAAGCACCAGAGCCTTTGCATCCGACAGTAGCATCATGGCCATTTGACGCTTGGGGACTTGACGTGGTTGGACCAATCACGCCTAGCTCATCAGGAGGGCATTCATACATACTAGCCGCTACTGATTACTTCTCAAAATGGGCCGAAGCAGTTGCATTGAAAGAGGTGAAGAAGGGAAATGTTGTTGATTTCATCCGAGTTCATATCATCTACCGCTTTGGCATTCCCCGATATATCTTGACAGACAATGGGAAACCTTTTGACAACAAGTTAATGGACAAGATATGCAAGTTATTTGATTTCAAGCAACGGAAGTCCTCTATGTACTATGCTGCTGTCAATGGCCTCGCTGAAGCTTTTAACAAGACTTTGTGCAACCTGTTGAAGAAAGTGGTATTAAGATCAAAGAAAGATTGGCACGAAAGAATGGAAGAAGCATTATGGGCATATAGAACGA